ACAGGAGCCAAAGCGTTAACTACTTGGGTTCATCTTACTGTCCTTCTGGTGTACCTCGACCGTCCTGCACGAGCAGAGGACACCATGGGCGGTGATACCAAGCCCCCGGATGGGGAACCACCTCCGCCGCAACGCCGCTTATCCAAGAAGACGGCTGTCGTGAAGGAGGAAGTGAAGGATCTCATGACACCACCCGGGCCTCCCGCAATGGGGGGTTCAAAGACGTACGGGAACATGAAAAGTGAGCTGGAAATCCTACCGCACAAAGAGCAGTCAGAGGAAGGTGCAAGTCTCCATACAGGAGATAGAGAAGAGTCTGAAGACCCAGCAGTCGAAGACAAAACACGCAGCGAAAATGATGACGAATCCATGGGGTGGTCTGGGTCAGAGCCTCTAGTTTTTGACGACGTCAAGGTTGAACCGCTTACCTTCACGGAAATGTTCGAATACCTACGTTGTGAAACTGCTGGTATGGATCTAGACAAGGCTATGGAAGTTGAGAGCGTGGCCGACTTTATTCAAAATCTATTCGAACAAGTTTTTCTCGCTAGACCACGAGACCCCCTGCCACCGACACGGGCACGATATCCTGACCTATCTAAGGGAGAAACTGAAAAGCTCCTGCAACTGTTTCTAACAGAGGCAACAACTACGAACGGTGATTCCCGTAAATGGCGGGCGAGACTGGAAGGACTTGCTCGCTCCATCTACAAATCTAGACGAACACTAAGTGAAACGCTGTCAGCAGCCGAACAAGCAGTGAACGCCAGGCCCGCGCCAGTAGCAAACCCGTGGGAACAGCGACTATTTTCTCAATCTACCGGTAACGATGAAGACATTGACATGAACGACGATAAATACTCCAAATTTCGCTTCCTTCGCAGTGCATATTCAGTAAATGAAATTGAAGAATTTCGAAAACTATGTGAAACCCGATATGGATTTCCTAGCCACCTTCGAGAACCCACAACGGCTGAAAAGAAGGTGATCAAAGGAATTCTGGAAGGATCCATCCTCTGTGCAGTCCTGCCTGACTTTCTCAAGCGCGTATGCACAAACAAAGCCTACAGATACATTCAAAACACGATCAAAGCCCAGGTGGAAGGCGATCTTGTTCTGCTGTTAAGCCCAGACTTTAAAAATTTTCCGCAATTTCAAACGCGAAAGAGACTAACAGCGGAGTTTTTTTTTGGTCGAGGCAACGATAAAAATGATTCCAAGAAGGTAGCAGGAATGCTTCAGGAAGCAAAGCAAATCTGCTACGACGAAGGACAGCATGCGATTCATATCATTTGCTGGACAAGAGAGCTAGCTGCAAAGTGGAGCACCGATTTACCTCATTGCAATTCCGTAACCGCCACTTCCCACTGCAGAATGTGCACACGGAGGAATTAGGAGCCGAGACGAATCCTGAGCAACGTGCTAAGCAAGTATGGGCTCGTCAGATTGGAGCAGACGGAATTCTTAACGAGCAACCACGTGATCGTTACCAAATTCGCCTCCTTAATATCTCTCGTTTCATGGATGAGGCAGCCATTGATATGTTTTTGCAAGCGCACTTCAGCGGAACGTACACGACTTGGCAAGAGCCATGCACGGGATATAACAATGTGCTGCAGACGGATACATATGACATATTCTTTAAGTGCCACACATGTCCTCAATTTTTGGACAGCAAACGATTCATCAACTGGAATGGCACTAAGATCCTCGTGCACCATGTTAGTAAGTCGGCCCCACCACCGTGTTTTTCATGTGGTGCCAAAGGTCATCTACGTACGGTATGTAAAGTAGATGACACGTACTGGCAGGATAACTACTGCGTCACTGTCTCGGCATGGGACATCGAGACATTGCCTAAACAGGCTTCTACTGTAACGAGCTTCAAAGAGCTAGATAGCTGCTGGGTACCACCAGACACGAAACGCGAAACAACACCATCGACACGGCAACATGAAGAGGAAGGACGCGTGGGAAGAAACGATGGAGGAAGTACATGGCAAGAAGCCAAACGAGCAGAAATCACGCCAAACCAGGAAGCTTCTAACACACCTCAGGTGCGTATTCAGCGGCGTCCACAGGCCAAAGAAACAATAACCACGGTGCAAACCAGTGATAGAAGTGAAGTTGACAAGAAGCCCAAACATCTCGGCATATCCATTGCAGAAGAAATAAAAAACAAAATCTGACACGGTACGGCAGAAATGGATAAATGTCAGCTCTTAATTGAGCAGCTAGCCTCGGAACGCAAACGAAAAGTCGACCCTTCAGCATTGAAAAAGTGTCTTGGAATTCAACTAGGGCAGAAACGGCAACCTCATACCGTGGTGGAGGCGTGTGGTCTGGAATTTGTTTCGACCCCACCAATAGGTAATTGCCAGTACTATGCAGTCGCTATGGCTCTCCTGAACCAAGGCTATGGTCCGGATGGGAACACCCGAGCTGTATAAAACCTCACAGCGAAACTAAAACAAGGAATTAAGGCGGCAGCTGAACACTGCTTTGACAAAAAATTCCCTCACGATATTAGACAGACAATCCTCGGTATACTGGGGAGCGTTGACGACTGGATTGAACACGGATACGACGAAACCATAGACACTAAAGCAAAGAAGCTCACGCCAAAACAAACAGAGACCAAACTAAAGAAGTACTTCGAAGAAGTAGCCCGGTCAACTTCGAAAGTAGAAGCAGCTATACCAACTAAATATTGGGGAGGTGAAGTTACTCTACGAATGATGGCCAAGATATTGCACCAGCCCATCTTTGTTGTGATTGCCAGAGATGGGAACAAGGACCCATCTTACCAAGTGTTTGAGCCAGCAGAACCCATAACGTCTGCGCCAACGAAATTCTACACAGCGAAAGAACGGTCTTACTCTGACAACCCCAACGGTTGGATCAGAGCCCTCCAGGAAGACTGCAAACGCCAACAAGAAAAGGGGAGCATCCCGGTGGTGCTGAAGTTCCGCGGAAGACACTACAGCTGGCTTCGGTTCCAACACAGTTCTCTGGTGAGTACAGAAGCAATTCCCATGGAAATCGACCGTACCACCGACAAAAGATACGATGCGATCGATCATCACGAAGACCAAAGTGATAAGAAAACGGTGGCAGCAGAGCTTGAACAAATCCGGGAAAACATGGCGAAGGAGCAGTCACGCTTCCCCTCATTGGAAGTAGCAGAGCTGACACCCAGAAGACGCGACGAACTTTGTGAGCTGGATCTCACAAACACGGACGAAGTAGAAAAATGGTCAAAATACCTGAATATTCCGATTGAAACCGTAGTACAATGGCAAGCACAGCTACAGAACATGGGATCCACGTCTACATTCATGCCAAGTCCATCCGCTACGGAAGCAGAGACAAGCTCGAGCTGGACCCCAACTGAATCCTCGGATATGAGCACAGACGCTGAGAATGATAGCAAACCCGCTCTGTCAAGCACAAGCACAGGAATTGGTCGATTTCAAGGCTCTAATACAACACTGGAGATCAGTCGATTACGTCGAAAAAGTCTCCAACAAGATTGGAATCAGCTCGCGCAACAATGGATTTCTAGCACTATAGTATCGTTTCCTACGATTCCTACTGATTTGGCCACTTGGAGAAATGTGACTGCTAGAGAACCAGACCTTCTTTTCCATACTCTTCAAGACTTTGCGTCCCCTGACTACGTTCTAAGCTCAATGTCGGACGCAATCTTTGAAATTTGGACGACATCAATCCGAACAACTGTTCTCATCCATAGCCTAGAACAACTTGCCGATGATCCAAATCTGCTCCGGAAAAAAAGGTTGGTGCAAGGCTGGATAAAAGCGATACGTCTACAGCTTCAAAAACAACCTAACCAGGTCGAACTATTCCCGAAAGAACGATGGAAACCATTAAAGGCAATGCATTATGGTGACTCGGAGCTACTTAAGCTATGCCGCGAACAAGAATCCCAGCAATTGTCCAGAATGCTGGTAGCAGCATACATTTACAAGGCAGAAATTCGAATGCTGAAAACGACCCGCCTGTAACTCCAACTGAACATTTGCAGCAGTTGTTTGAAGTTCTGGAGGGTAACCCTGACATTCATGCTGCAATTCATAGCCAAGACGCTACGGGCTGCTGGGCACTACTCGAGACAACGTTGGCAATCTCCGCTATGCCAAGTGGGCCGGCGGCAATGGAACCACAGCGTCGTGATTAGCGCTACTCCACATGACCATCACGACATGAACGATAAACCAACGGAAGATTATTACGCAGAACTTACAAACATAGCAGCACTATTCGACGAGCCGATCCAAAATCGATCAAGGAAGTGCTCTAGTCATGAAGCATTTACTATAGCTACCCAAAATTTGAGAGGATTCGCTCGGAATTCTAGGAGAAATTGGATGAGTGGATGGAGAAGGAGACGGGATGGGCTCCTACCACCCGACATCATCTTAGTCCAAGATACAGCGATTCATCAACAGCTAACAGTCATCGAGATGACACAACAATGGGAAAGATCGTGGCAAATATTGACCACGGAGCACCCACTCAGCTACTGGACGGTGACGAACACTAAAGCGGCTGGGATGGGGATTTTAGTATCACCAACTATGAGTTCACACGTAAAGCCGTGGAATAAAAGTGGATGGACATCAAGATTGATGGCAGTTGAATACCACGACTGGTTAATTATCAACCTATACGCTCCAGCAAAAAGAACAGACCAAACGATATTTTATGAAGATCTAAAGCCATGGCTATCCCACCACCAATCCATTATACTAGGGGGGACTTTAATTGCGTAATGAGACCAAGCAGGGACCGAGTGGAGCAACGACGAAAAAGTACCGGATCCTGCGAGAGCGAAACATTATTTTGCATTCTAGATACTCAAGATATGACGGACGCAGTAGACCTCCAGTTTGACCTTGACGGGGACGATGAAGTACAAGACCCGCTCCATCATTTTACCTTCTGGAGGCGCCTAGATCGATTCTACGTCAAAGGCGAGCCTTTTCATATACTGCAAAGCATGAATGTTCTTGACCCTCATGACTCGGACCATCAGGAAGTCCGCATTAACATTTGCACAATAAAGACTGAAAGAGAACTCAGAACTGGAAATTTGTACCCAATATCGCGTGGCCGACCTCATCGGATTCGTGAAGCCATCGAACGAGGATTCCCGCTTTTGGATGATTACGAACGAACAGCAGACCCTGTTGGCAAATTTGACGCTCTGATAGGAGATATTCAGCCATTGCTCAAACGAACTCGAATAGACGACAGAAACCAGGCGTCCAGATACTTCCGAAAACTTCGCGCTGACACACATGTTCCAAAAGCAACGCGGCCAGAGACGATAGCACAACAACAAAATCTTCGCCGCCAAAGAGCTGCAAGATCGTTTGGGAAACAACTAGAAAAATCGTCAGAGGAGGTGCGGCGTTTATTTAAGAGGAACTCGGACTGGCAACGGGATCAGTCCGTGTCGCACATTGACCCTTCGCCAGGCCACTTCTATGATGACTGCTATCCAATTGAAGAAAGAATGGCTCCCGAATGGAGCCACGTGTTTGGGAAATCCCATGCATCAACCTCACCGGAAAAAATTAAAACACCTTTGAAAAAATTTGCGAATATTCCCCAACAACGAACCTTATCAGACAAAGAAGCAAGAACGATGACGAACCCCATATCGGAGGAAGAAACTGAGTCGGCAATTGCAAATTTAAAGCGCCACAAAACAGGAGGGTCGACAGGTCTCAGTCACGAATTCTATAAGGATTTTGCTTCATTGCTTCTTCCAAGTCTCACCAAGCTTTTTAATGCCATCCTCAAAGGACAAGGGATACCAGCTTCATTCTTGAAGGCGACAGTGATACCTCTTCTCAAAAATTGAGACTCTGCCGACGCGATGGACTATCGTCCAATTGCTATCCTGAATACAGCATATAAATTGTTCGGCAGAATCTTGGCTGAGCGATTACATGCACTACTACCCAAACTTATTAGCGATTCTCAACAAGGCTTTATACGAGGACGCAATATTGACAAAACAGTGACAATTTTGCGCTCTATCCTTGCCGCAAGTGAAGACATGGACGCAACAGATTGGGCAAATGCAGCAGCGATATTGTGTGTCGACCTTCGGAAAGCGTACGACTCCCTTGATAGGCAGTATATGCTGCAAGTACTACGAGGATATGGATTTACTGACCAGTTTATTGAAGTAATTTGGACTCTTCACGAGGGTACAACTGCCCAATTTTTGGTTATCATCTGAGTGGGAGGTGAACTCTGGCATTCGACAAGGATGCCCGCTAGCCCCTCTGCTATTTCTTTTAGCAGTGGATCCCCCAAGTCACGCGATAAACAACCACCCTAAACTGCAGGGGATTGCAATTCGAGGAAATCTCTCCTGCCGCCATAAATTTTCAGCATTCGTAGACGACAGCACTGTCTTTTTGAGCTCGTTGCACGATCTAGAATTCGCCAAACAAGTGCTCGATGAATTTGGTGATCTATCTGGACTGAAAGTGCAGCCAAACAAAAGTATTCTGATAGGTCTTTATCGATGCGGCACTCCAACTAAATGGATGGATTTACGGTACTCTCATCAACTGCTTCCACTTGGCAACAGAAATACTAATAGTGAGAATTGGAGTATACGCATTGAAAAAAATCAAAGACGACTGCGGATAGCAACAACCATTACCAACTCTGTGGCTCAACGAGTAACACTGTTCAACGCCATAGCACTACCAGCAAGTCTGTTCACAGGAAAGCAGTTTATTCCGTCCAGAAATAATTTACGCAAACTAGTAAATCTCCAAAAGCAATTTGTCTGGAACGGAAAAGCTAGCACGGAAACCACCAAGCACAAACTGAACCCAGCTCTAGTCTACACACCACGCGATCAAGGAGGTCTTGGATTACAAGATATCTCTCTGGCACTGCGGGCGACGAGGAGTAATCTAGCAGAAAGATGGCTGCAAGCCAAGCCAGATATTTACTCCGTGGCATGGCATGCTATGGCCCACCCAGGCGAAGAACCATCACAATTATGTTGCCAGTTCCGCCCAACATCAGCACGTATGTTGTCATTATGTGCTAAGGAATCCCGTCGTCAGCCACAAATTTCTGTTCAGCTTCTAGGTAAACTGGAATTATGGAACTCGCAGTCAATCAAAATGATACCCAAGAACGATCAACTTAAGAAAATACAACAAATGATTATATCAGCTCCGGCAACACGATCCTGTTACTGGATATCAGGCACACAATTACGATTTATAACAGCGATGACAAACGACTGCGACATTCCAGATGAATACGCGAACTTCCTTCTTGAATCACCGTGGCATGATAACGCAAATGTGACTGACAAAAACGGCCACCCTCTCCGCTTACAGAACTTTCCATCTTTGCGACCAGCACGAATCAGAGATATAGTCTTTACTATCGAGAATTGGAGCCCAATGCAAAGCGACAAGGCCGCCGTGTTACAACCACCACTGCATAAACAGCCATACACACAGAGACATTCACGCCAAATAGTGAGATGGTGCTCATGTGTCATGCTCAGCCTACCTTGGAAGATATGGACAGTGAAGCCCCAAACACTACAACCAAGAAATCTCCCACATATGCAACATGATTTAGAATGAATAATGGGGAAGCTGACGACACTATAACAGCTAAAGTATAGAGCGGAGAGAGCAGCAATCTGGACATACAACCGCAACGAAACCAAGACGGGTGGACCTGGAGCATTATGAAAGCATCAGCATCGTACCAAAAAACTTACGACTATGATGAATTAGTGGCTTGGATAAACCGAGAAGGTCTCGCTTTTAAACAAACACCGCAAACCGCTCTCTATCCTTGGTCAGCACCAGAACTCACGAAATCAGCCAACTTGGGAATCACGATCCGTAAACAGCGAACCAAGGTATTAAAAACACAACTTTGATACAGCCTTCAAGCCACTCTCGAAAAAATAAAAAGGAAAAAAGTGCATCAGCCTGGCAAAGTGCAGCGCTTCAACAAACTGTTTACCAGCTGTGGTCCACCCAAGGTATTTTTACAGACTTCCAAAACTGGACAATGTATCGTATCGCTCTTGGAGCTCTCAACTTGCGCCACGATAAATGGCCTGACCACCGTGAATGTCCTGAACCTACATGCCCTTGCACCACTAAAACGATAGACCACATAGTATGGAGCTGCGATAAAGCACAACATGCTTGGAAAAGATGGCTTGATCAATGGCTCGGAGCTCCAACTACCTTGACGAAAAGAAAGGCATTACTGGAACACGTTGCGTCAAGGAAGTCACCAACAGCGACAGCAGAATTCCTGTCCGTAGCTCAGCAATGCATAACGCGATGGACAACATGTCACGACAAAGCAATGGAGATATTATGGTTAATATGGACAACAACAACCCCAGTCATACTATGGAGACTACGAAATCGTCATATTTTCAACGAAATACACACATCAAAAAGCGAAACAGCCTCCATAGTCTGGGGAGCTGGCACATACCAAGTCATGGCGGTAGCTAGCTCATGGAAGGCGCAGCCATCAAAGCGGATATTGGGTGTGTGTCTGGAACTATGCCATAGAATCATGATATCTGTTCCCTGAAATGGATATGGAACATCTGGAAACCTGGCTAATCCGTTACTACG